ACCGAACAATATTTACATATCTAACATCAAAAATCCAAAGAACAAGGATTCACATGAATACTTGCATTCAAAGAACGATTCCTAAAATTTCTGCTGCTAAAAATGTCCTTACCGTTGGGGAACAGAGGAGGAAGAGGAACTAGGTAGCGTGAGAGACACGGGAGACAAGGAGGAAGAGGAACCATGTAGCGTGAGAAACGCAGGAGAAGAGGAGGAAGAGGAAAAAGAGATTACAACTTCGCAGAGGAGTTCGACACTAGGGTTAGGGTTAGGGTGGACGAATCATGAAGGAAAGGAGGGCATCACCGTAAAAAAAAAAATGAGAAACACGGGCCGTGGGGTCGAACCTGTAGCCCGTGTTTTATGATAAATGCGACGCGCCACTGGTTAACTGCCGCCCCAAGTAGTGAAAACTCGCGGCAGCGGGCCGCGCTGCTGGCCTACCGCCTCCCTAAACAGGGCCTAAGCATACCAGGTTATTTACACGAGACAACGAGCTGGAGACTAGCGTGAGGAAATTCGTCGTAGGACTGCTCTGTTAAGTTAGATGAAATAATCTGATGCTAATGTAAGAAAAGTAATCTTCTATAGGGTTTTCATATGATTTCTTGTTTGACATGTATATAAATAAAATTTTCTACATATTGTTGTATGAATGAGAGCTGATTTCTTCTTGCAATATATGTGATGTTTTCATGTGATTATGCTTATGATATTAATTGCTTGCAGTTATTTATCTGCTATGATTCATACATGTGATATATGAAATGCATATGAATGCTTGTTTCATGTATTATGCTTTATGAAATATTTCCAGGAATGTTATGAGTTGGCTATTATATGCGTGTTTGCAAGTACATTATGCAGGGAATTATTGCCGATCTCATGGTGTTCAAGAGGCGACGAAACTCTAGAAATCATTGTGTTCAGACGGTGATAGAACGTAAGAAAACCGTTAGTATCATGAGCTATTGCTAACTGCTATGTTGAAGTGTCCAACCTTTATCAATAATTAATGACCTTTAGGTCAGGGTGACAAGTCATGATATGACAGGACATGGAAATATTGAAGGTCTATACATAAGTGACATTGCTATGCTATGATGACATTTCAATGTTGACACTGCTATGATGACATTACTATGAACTTGTTTATGATTCGATACTTATGATTATACATGTTTTATATAATAATCATGATTTTCTGCACTACTATTTTTTTTCATGTTTTATCTAACATATTGTGACTTGTATGTAGACAAACACAGTTTCATACGAGCATGCACATTGTTTCTTTTCTGTGTATAAAATCTTATTTTAGTTTTGATTATTTTGCTGAATTCATTGTTGCTCACTCTACATTGTTGTCTTTCAGGAAAGGATATAGAGCACCGAGGCGAATAGCCATATGTTATTTGTATATCTTTGCACTATATAATTTTGGAAGTTTTTACAATTTTTTGGTATGTACTTTTATTATGTTGGATTTAACAACTCTGTATAGATACATGTTTTGATGATATGATTTTCACGATTCCAAATATGAATATGATTTTATTATAAAATTCAATGTATCAAGTTTGTTTGCAGCGATTTAATTAGAGGGTTATCACCCACTGATTCCTAATTCTGCAAATCAGAGCGAGTGTTGGTGAGAATTTAGCTTGGCTGAATTGTTTGTTTTCGCCGTCCTCGGCTGAATTTAAAAGGGGGTGAGTGAGGGTGTGACAATTATCTCTTCATATCTCTTGGGCGGCCTTGGAGAAGCCCTTATATTCGTTACTTGCAGTGAAAATTATTTTCTCATATATCAATAAGGATAACTCACATCCCCATTGGCTTAGTGAAGTACTTGTCAAAATAGTAGCTATTGTAGAGAGATCCTTAATGTGGTCTTGATCATCACCTAAACACTGGCTCATGGAAAAGTATTCAATCCACAACTTAATAATGGTCAAATAAGAAAAATAATGACAATCCACATAATGATATGCACTTCGACTTCATGAGTGACGTCCTGGACGATCTCAAGGCAACTAGCTAGCTCACTAGAGTTGCCTTCCAATGAAAAAGTATAGCCTTCACCTCATAGTGCATGAAAGGGTAAAAATTTAATAAACTCATCTTCGGGAATTTGTGATTTTGTTCTATGTGTAGACTTGCTTGAGAATGCCCTAATTGGAGAGGCGACTATCTTTTCTTTCTTTGTTCCTATAATATCAACCATGTCAAGCTTATTCCTCTTAGTCTAAGCTGATTTCCTTTTAAATGGCATCGAAGTCCGCATATTCCATGTTACTAAATTTGTAGAAGCTTAAGAAATGGAGGAGTGGCGAGTGTGAAATCCTGTTCACATGAAGGGCAAGGTAATTTATAGGAAGATCAATCCATGCTAATATGGACAAAATGACAATAGGCCAATATTACAACAAAGCCAACAAAATAAAATTAAAACCTTTACTAAGTGACGCGACTTAAAATTACCCCATGGCAAGGAATTAATTTTATTTAAGCAAATCAAAGAAGTGTCAATTCATAATGTCTTAGCCTTTAAATTATATATTTCCACACCTAATCAAACGACTACCTCACCCAAAATATTCGGGCGCCTATCCGTGTCGATTAGTCTCACCCATGCAACCTATATTCTTGATGGTTTTTCCAAAAATTTGCCATTCAAGGACTATAGCTGCTTCTTTTAGGTGAATTGAATCATAACCAATTTTGCTATTTGTGCTAACATTTCTTCAAACTTTTTCTTCAAGCTTGCTATACCGGCCGACTCTTTAGGAGGTGCCTTCCATACCACAAGAGGCGGCTATCCTTAGGTGCCATGACTGGGGGATCTAGACAAAACAACTAGGTAGTTGTCTCCTCAAATCTTTTTGGAGGCCTTCGAGAGTCCTTATCTTCGTTACTTTTAGTGAAAATCATTTCCTCTTATATCAAACGGGATAGTTCGCATTCCCATCGGTTCAGTGAAGTGCTTATCAAAATAGTAGCTATTGTAGAGAGAACTTTAATATGGTATTGATCGCCACCAAAATGCTTGCTCGGGCAAATAAGAAAAATAATGAATTATGACTTAGTAATCCTCATTAACAATCCTTTCTTGATCCACACTTTGACCTCAGGAGTGACCTCTTAGATGATCTCAAGGGCAACCTTCGCCTTGACAAGCTTGCTCACCAGAGCTGACTTCCAATGGAAAAGTATAGCCTTCTCGTCATAGGACAGGAATGTAAAAATTTAATAAATTTAACTCCATGGAGTCATCCGTGACTTTGTTCTTAGTGTAGACTTGCTTGAGGCTGTCCTGATTGGAAAGACAACTATCTTTGCTTTCTTTGTTTCTATAGAATTAATCACAACATGTTTATTCCTCTGTTTGAGCCGATTTCCTTCAATTCAACATCCGTAAGATACTTTTCTCATCAATTGCATCGAAGTCCCCACATTCCATGTCACTGAAATTCTAGAAGCTTAAGAAATGGAGTGGGATAGCGTGAAACCCTTCCTCCACATGAAAGGCATGGTAATTTATAGGAGCTCAATCCATGTTAACATTGGCAAAATGAAAATAGGCCGATATTGCGACAAAGCCAACAATAAAAATTGAACCCAGCCCGCTCCCTCCTTGGAGCCTAAGTAAACAAACACCGTGAGTCTCTTTTTAAGCAATTGAAAATTTTTTGTCTCCTTTTTATGCTCCTTTTGCAATCTTTTTTAAAATATAAGAAAATCGAGAAACTAAATATATATCACACATTGCAGATTTGTCTAAAAGGACAATGAAGAGACGACCAACTATCCAAATTTAGGATAAGCCTACCTACTTGGTCTCAACGCGAACTTGCCAGCTTGAATAAAAAGAATAATTTGCTAACTTAATTCATAGACAAACTCACTATGGCGGATCTAAGAGAATTTGCTCAATGGGGTTTGAGATTTTGGACATTAACCTGCCAGTATCAAGGCAGAAAGGAATGTTGACCACTAGGAAACTTCTAGTGCAGTCTCAAGAATGACTTCACATCTGCTCACATAAACACGATTGATCAGTTGGGCCGCTTATAAATATAGGCCACTTGGTTCATATAGCTGGAAGACCCCTGGATTTCTCCTCTAGCCAACTACAACGTGAGTCCGACTCTGTATTAAGGCTATAAGCCTTATGTTTATCCTTTTACTTTTTTCACATGCATTGTTCATTATGAAGCTTGTTCTTTAGAGCTTGGAGACCCGGGATCCCTTCTTATAATTATGGGATTTTGAGGAGAGCCCACGGTTGGACTGCCCATGGTTGGACTGTGGTGGTCCTCACTCTATCATTGCATTCTTCTGAGCCGTTTCAGTGGATTGGTTTTCTTTGACTATATCTTTCTCTAGCCTTTCACTTTTCCTTGGAATTATTAAATTTTGAACGTGATTCATGGACAAATCACGATCCAACACTAATCCCAACCTAGCAACCCGAAGACCATCTTGATGTTTACCATCAATATTTACTTCAGGTTGCTGTGAGAGATTCTTTTGGATTTTTTCTTTGCAATTTGTCTTGTGTCATTATCATACACTCAAACTTTATATTTTTATATAATAGTAGGTGCTGACATATTTATATTTCTTCTATTTTTTAGTAAGTTTTTTTTTATTTAATGGTTCCTTAGTCGAATTGAAGCACCATTGTGAGCTTAAAACTTCGAGCATTCATTCGTTTCCAAATTTTAATCTGCAGGCAATTTTCATTTATTTTATTTTTTTCTGGTGAATGTAGGTTTTACCTTTAGGTTGCTGCCAGGGATACTTTTAATGTTTTTTTTTGCAACTTGTTTTTTGTGTCATTATGAGACACTCATGATTATACTTGTATTTAGTATTTAGGGCTGACACACACATGCATCCACACATGTTTGTACTATTTTGTTGTCCAGCCTTGTAAAACCCTTTTAATACTGAGAGTCATGCCTTTGATGGTATAATGTGCTTTTTTTTCTCAGAGAAGGAGAATTTATGTCTTTATGGACTTCCTAATGAGACTTGGGACGTCACCTTACCTGCTGAGGAAGTTCCTCCTGAGCTTCCTGAACCTGCTTTAGGAATAAATTTTGCTAGGGATGGCATGGATGAAAGGGATTGGCTGTCACTTGTAGCCGTCCATAGTGATGCCTGGTTACTTGCAGTTGCCTTCTATTTTGGCGCTCGTTTTGGTTTTGACAAAGAGGCTAGGTAACTGTAGTATGGTTAATCATTTAGTTAGAATTGATATTACTACAATGATTATTAATTTATTTGACAATAAATTTTTTGATAATTGAATTAGTTACTTTTTGCATTTTTTTACGTCTCATCAAGACTAGCGAAAGTTGACCTATCCTGATAATGTTCTAACTCTAGTATGATTTGCTACTCCATCTATTTTTCTTTTCATTGTTTATCATCTAAGTGTTTTATGTAAATTATATGAATATGATCTTATTTAACCTTCTAGTCATGTAGATTTGGGTGTTTGCAACATTGCCCATGCCTTTATATATGTGACGATCTTCATATTTGTTATAGTTTGGATAAATATAAGATAACATCACAAGATCTTTCTATCGATTTTATGCAATGACCAAAAGTTAAATGTGGACTATTGTAAATATCAGTTGTATTCTAGTAAGTTATTGGCCATATCTTATAGTTAGAAATTATTAATTGAAACTATTATTTAGTTTGTTTCATTTTGTAAATGCTTCAAAAAACATCAAATTGTTTTGATTGGATCATCTTAAATAGGGAAACGGTGTTCTCAATTTATTTAGGATAATTTTATAGAAACACGACCTTCACAGCCCTTGGTTGTTGCAAAGAATTTGGCGCTAAAGCAAAGCACTATAAACGAGATTGTGGGTAGTAATGGATATGTGTTTGCAGAGGGTCCCATTTAGTTGTATGATCGATGTATCCCGCAACTCAATTGCGGCAATTCCATGAGGCATCTTTCTTATTTTGTTCGTCACTTTCAACAATTTCTCTCATTTTGTTTCTTTCCTTTCTAGTATTTTTCTATTGTCTTAGTTCTTAATTAGATATTTTTTATGAGGGAATTTTTATATATGGCTGTATTAGAGTTTTTGATTTGATTTTTCTGATTTGATGAATTGAGAAGTGTTTTCTATGAAGTTTGCTCTCCAGAGTGTTGTGTCTGTATCTTGTTTAGAGACAGCTGGTGGAACTTCCTCGTCGCTCATATATCGCCGTGTCGCTGTCCGAACTACTATTTTCTGCTGAACAGTCATCCAACTCTCTATTACCTACTGTTTCCAGCAGTAAATCGTGTCTTCCCGCCTCTGGCTCGCGGGACAGCAGGTAACAATAGGTAACAACGAGTTGGATGACTTCCCAGCTACTGTCCAATCTTATCCTCGTGATCCACTCCAAACACTGTCAAACTCGCCTATTATCTTCCTTTTTCCATTCCGCAACCACTCCCTTATGAATCCATCTCCAAAGTATCTTCTAGGAGCCCTACAATGGTATTATTTGGTATCAGAGCCTGGGGAACTCTAAATTTGTTTGGATTTTTGTTATTTCTTTCCTAATCCGAAATTCCAAGAAAAAAATTCTGTCATACCCAAATCATTCCTACCACAATTCTTAGCCCCAATCCTAAAATTTTCAAAATCCAACTTTCCTACCTCCACCAAAATTTCATCTTGACACCTTCCAAAACCCTAAACCTTGATCAACCTTGAATCGTAATCCTACAACCCTAAAAAATTTTGTTGGGAAGAAATAACACAATATCGATTGGGTGAAATCCACAATGAGGTGTCCAAGAGCTTACAGTAGAAGCTATGTTTTGAGAAATCCTCCAACCGCAACTGAGGCTTGCTGCCTTTGAGAGGAAATAATCTAGTGAGGTCACCCATAACCACAATAATGACTCGTTAGATTGAGAAGAGGAAGGGAATCCTTTCCACCAAACAGTTTTCAGTGATGAAGAACCACTATCTTGAGGAGTCAATATGAAATGTTAGAGAAGGTAAGATATTGGAGTAAAGGTGGAATTACCGGATTTCGACTGTCGCATGGATCCATTTGAGTTAATCTAGTGGCTTCAAACAGTGAAGTGAATTTTTTAGTACAATGATGTTCTTTAGGACAAAAGAGTTAAATTGACAACCATCAAGTTCAGAAAAAATGATTGATTATGGTGGGAGAACCCGAAGCATATTCAGAAGTAATACACTACATGGTCCAAGATGAAAATGGAGGTTCAACGCAAATACCTTCTCTCACATTAACGTCAAAATATATTCATAAAACTCCACAACCTGCGCCGAAGAGACATTTCTGTGGAGTACTCACGATGTTTAGATATCTCGGAGGACTGGTGTCATCTATCAATAATGTAGTTCAGTTACAGCCATATTGGTCCCTACTTGATTTAGAGACCCTAACTTTAAAGGTGGAGAAACAACGTCACCGGGCGAACTCCACACCTAACATTCAATGTTCAACCCCAAGAATCCAAATTGACACCACCTGAGGAGAAGTTAACCCAGAGTGGAGAAAAAATGGAGCCCGCCAGCAATCCCAAATTCAACCTAGCTATACAGTGCTTAAAGTGCTACGGGTTCAACCACATTGCATCAGATTGCCCAAACAGGAGAATGATATCTTTCATCGAGCAGGGTTCCTTGGAGAAGACAAAGGATGAAGGCCCAGAGGAGATTGGAAAGTACTAGCTTGCAGTTGCCGAGGGAGAAATACCCCTTGTGATTCAAGTTGAGCCCATGATAAAGACTAAGAGAAGCACTGGCAGGACTGTCATTGTTTGTCAAAGAGGGGCCATATGTTTGAGGAACCGATACCAAAATGTCATAGATGAGAAGGCTTTGAGCTATTTCTGGAAGGCTATATGGAGTTAAATTTCAGTTCAGTTTGACAATATCGTCCTAGATTGATAGCTAGATAATAATGGTGAGACTAAATCTCAACAAGTGTCTTATGGAAAATAATATTCAACTGTGGGATCCAGGCCTTTCCAGAGAAGTACAAGAAGCTTCTCGTAGCTAGGGAGAACGAAGTAGAGCGTCTTGCTCAGCTGCCGGATTGCAGAATTTTGCAACGTGATTGTCGGAATCCCGTGATACCGCGGTTTTGAAAATTTCGTGAGTGTGGGAATAGCGACATAAGATGTATTTTTTGTTTTAATTATATTATTTTTAGCAATTTCCCTCCTTTTGCTTTTCTATTTTTCTAGTTTTTAATTAGAGATTTCTATGAGAAAACTTTTATATATGCTGTATTAGGGTGTTGTATTTGGAGCCTTCTGATTTTAAGAATTGATATGTGATTTTTTCTAAATTTGGCTGTTCGGAGTGCTTTCTTCTTCCTTTTTGTAAATGACCTGTTGTATCTTAGGAAAGTTTTGGCCGCCCTTATACTGCCGTATTGCTGTCTAAGCTGCTGTTTTCAGCCGGGCAGCCATTCAACTTACTGCTGCCTGCTGTTTCCAGCAGGAAATCGCTGTCTTCCCGCATCCGGCTCGCAGGACAGCCGCTGATTGTCGCCATACTGCAGCCCAACAGTCACCTATCCCTGCAATCCACTCCAGACGCCATCGAACTAGCCTATTATTATCTCCTTGTAATTCCCCAACCCCCTTCCAACAAATCCACCTCCAAAATACCTTCTAAAAGCCCTAGAATGGTATCAGTGCTGCCGCCATGGATCTTTTAGTCATTTTATATGGTTAATTATTTTTCATACCTTATGTTGTGTTGTGTACATTTGTCATCGTTCTTTTAGTGTCATTGCTATATGGTTGATGTTTGTCTTATGCAAGATATTTTGTCATAGTTTATGTTTTTTGTTAAATTTGTTATTAGTTCTTTCAATTTTGATTATCAAGGGCAGTCGAGTCATGTGTCATCAAAGCATATATTTGTTATTATGTTAATGTTTAAGGATTATGTTCTATAAACTATATTAGGATTATCTGATAGAGCTCTCGGAGTCATGTAATAAACATTTTATTTTGAATAAAAATTATAATTCTTTTGCATGGCCTGTTGACCCTCCTAATATACTAAAGTCCTTTCATTCTCATGTTTTTCCTGTCTCCTCTATTCTCGGCTCAAGGCTTCTACTTTAATTTTTCACAACATTTGAAGCCCCATGTAGTTAATCTGCAACAAGTCTGTATCATTTTGTTTTCGAGCCCAACTTTTGCATCCAGGAAAATCACCGCTAGAAGATCTACAGCACGATGAAGACTAGTTTCAATATATCCTTGGGATTCAGTAAGCTTGATTCCTTTTTTTTTAACTTCTAACTCATAATTGCTCATTTGAACTTTCGTTTCAACAAAACCCTAAACTCTGGCCAAAATCTTGCCCAAGATAAACACGTAACCTTCTGAACCCACTCAAATTTTCCCCCAAAATATTCTTGTCAAAATCATGGCCAAATAAATTCTATCGCTACCATACTGCTGCAATTTTGGTATCTATTGTTGCTGTTTTCTTGAAGTACTGTTAACTATTTTCGGTTGATGAATTTCATTGACCCTAGTCAAAACTTCTAATTTACAATGACCCACTCTCCCTTGTAATTTCTCACTTTTGAATTCTCCAGTACACAGTTTCAGCACATGAAATTCTTGATTCTAGCAGGCAGGCAAAGTTGACAACCACTAGAATAGCAGGAAATAGATGTTGACAGTGGAAAGAAATGGTAAAGAACTTGCCAATCAGCTTAGGAAACAAAGCTTCACAAAGGGAAGTGGAGGGAAATAGAAGCCCACAACTAGCATAATAGCTTCAAAAAGAGGTTTTATGGTGGGAAGTAGTGGGAAACAAAAGTTGGCAGCAGCGATAGAAGGCAGCAAGAAAATATAGTTGCAGTAGTGAGCAAACTTTTCATCAAAATAGAGTTGGTTTTGGGAATTTGATAGAGATGCTCCGCCTAATTCTCTTAAAACTTAGCTATTGTTCAAGTGAATTAAACTCAAAAAGTGTTGAACTTGGAATTTAGTGAATTAGCTTGTGATCCAATCTCAAAAAGATAATCAAAAAAATAAAGAGCACTTCACTTTCTCATAGGAACCATCATCATAAGCTTGAGTTACATGAGACAAGCTAAAGAAAAATTACATTATAGGATGACACTCGTTTCAGTTCTTTATGTGCTTCTGACAAGCATGCACTTTTATGTTCCATCTAGTAAATCTATGG